GGGTTCGAGTCTCGTACCGGCAGGGATTGTAGGTGGGGGGAGTGAATGTATGTGGGGGAGCGCTCTCTCCCACCTTCAATACCACGACTGAGGTATTCTTGGAGGAGGCCCTTGAGCAAGGCACCGAACCCCCAACTGCTCCGTGTGTGTGTTCACTGCTGTGTGTGTGCACTTAGGATGGGATAAATGCAGAGCACTAATTCCGAGTATGGGTCAACACAAGAGTCATGTGAATTCCTCATTCCTGCTTCCTGTTTGCAGTGCTGCTGGTTTGTGATTGTATGTAAGCCTGGTTTCTCCCAAGTTTTTTTCTCCATTCTGTCACCGATGTAGTTTTGGTTCCTTGCCGCTGTCGCCTCTGGCTTTCTTAGTTGGGTACACTTCATTTCCAGCGATATCGTTGACTTGATTGTAAATGATTGCAAAGATACTATTTAAATTGAACTGAGCTGGATGATGACATCACTGAATTCAATGATGAACTGCCTTTAACTGAAAAATTAGTGTTTACTATTGTCATTTTGCATTATTGACACACTATTTTCCTAATTAATGCTGTTCAGTTGCTTTGACACAATCTGTATTGTTAAAAGCGCTATATAAATAAAGGTGACTTGACTTGACTTGACACTTGGCCACATGTCATGTCACTTTCACTAATTAATGTCGTTAACATGTAAAAGATCACCTGTCATCGTCACGCAGCTCAAGTGTTTCAATCCACCACATTATTAACCAGTGTTGGTTTATAGGCAACTATCGTTTTTATAGATTTTTCTTTAAACATTGTTAGGAAACATGATGCCTTGTCAGAATGACAGTTATTATAAGATTCTGACTTACGGAAGATAAATGTAAATATATATAAAATATATTGATAATAATAAATAAAAATAAACAAACATATAGTATATAGCGAACATAATACATTATAATATGTCATTTAAAATTAAACACAAAAATAAAATAATGACTGTTACTGAAGTATTGGTTTTGTCTATTTTAGTTGTATCGATAATGTCTAATGCCCTGCTAACTAAGATAAATCAACTTTAATATAAATATATAATATATGACAGAAATAATCTAATAAAAATATATTATATATTAAATAATATATTGACATTTAATAAATATAAAAATATTATTAACGCATCAAGAACACCATTATAATTAATTATTAAACACACCTTAATTTAGTATCTAGCTGTGATATTTCCTTCAACAGTTTTAATCAAAATCTTTTAATTACTGGCATGAATTTATTGCCTTGTTTTCATTATCATTAACAAAATAATAATAAAAAATAAAATCCCTTCATTAACATCCATTTTCCTCAGTTATTTTGATGAATTAACAGTGGAGAGTATGTTTTAAACACACACAGCTCACACACGTGAGCTATCTAATGATTACAAATTATTAATTAATAATGTGTTATAATATACTGCATCAAGAATACCATTATAATCCATTATTAAACACACCTTAAAGGGATAGTTCACCCAAAAATGAAAAGTTGATGTTTATCTGCTTACCCCCAGGGCATCCAAGATGTAGGTGACTTTGTTTCTTCAGTAGAACACATATGATGATTTTTATCTCCAGCCTTTGCAGTCTATCAGTGGTATAATGCATGGCAATGGTAACAAAATCTATGAGAGTAAAAAAAACATGCACAGACAAATCCAAATTAAACCCTGCAGCTCGTGACGATACATTGATGTGTAAATACACGAAACGATCGGTCTGTGCAAGAAACTGAACAGTATTTATATCGTGCCATGCATTATACGACTGATAGACTGCAACGGTTGGACTTAAAAACCATCATATGTGTTCTACTGAAGAAACAAAGTCACCTACATCTTGGATGCCCTGGGGGTAAGCAGATAAACATCACATTTTCATTTTTGGGTGAACTATGCCTTTAAGTTAATATCTCATAACATATGTCATTCAACGGTTTTAATTAAAATCATTTAATTATAGCCATGAATTGCATTATTATTCATGTGTTATAATATCAACCATTAAAATCCATTATTTATACAGGGCTTCATTGCCATATAGAAAGGTACCTGATGCATACGAGTGAGAGCATGAACTTGTTTTTAGTTTTTATTTAGGAGATGCTGTTTTATCCAGGGCAGCTTACAGTCGGCCGGTTTAAAATGAGCTCCCTGCAGCGGCCCAGCGTTCAGTGTCTCGCTCTAGGGCACAATGCTGGAAGAAAACCCCAGCGTCCGAACAGCTTTAATGACGTCCCTACCTGGGATCCAACAAATCTCCAGTGTTACAAGCCCAAAACACATGTGAACACATCACGAAAACAGTCAGGAGCTATCTTTTCATTTCAACATCACGGGAGATTTCGACACTAATGGATAAATGTAAATCATACCGAACTGTGATTAGCCAGTCCTGAGGTGTCAGTGTCCCCAGCCAGTAAATATCCCTCCACTAGATGAAGGCAATAGTCCACCGAAGAGCCCACCAATATGGAGAGAGAGATGGCTTCAACTGCACCCAGCTCCCATCCCAGCCAATACATCACCGCCACCACCAGACACACCATACCTGCCAAGAGTTCATGCTTTTTAAAAACTCTTCCTACTGTTTAAAAACACTCCGTTTGTCCCATTATTATTATTCCTTCCCCTACTTGAATTCAAGCATCATTGCACATTTTTAAAATCTATTTCCTTGTTTAGTTGGGCACGTAGGAGTAGGATGATTTTCACAGTCTCTTTTCATTTGGCATAATTTGTATATTCGTTCAGTCTGAGTAATCACTTGTAGTGATAATACTCCCGGTTGAAAGCGAGTTAAATTACGGTCATGTCTGGCATATTGTATTAACATATAAATGAGATGGGAATAGAGCCGCACATTTCAAAGGCAATGATTTTCACCGTCAGTACATATTACATGAGTCAATTCAATTCAACAGAATGGCTGAAGCAGGCGTTTGATGGCACCGTCCAAAGGGAGATGCTGCATTTAAGTATCCTCGATGAAAATTAGTTGGCCGTAATAAATGGTGGTAAAATATTTCAAGGGGTTACAGAGTCAATCTCACATAAGCATGTCCAGGTCACATTTCATGCAAAAATAAAATGACATTATTACCCAAGGAAATATTAAATATTATAAAGTCAACATAATATAAATATATTATATTTGCTTTTGTCCTTTTATTAGTTTTTATTTTTTATATTTCTATTTAGCTTTAATTTATTTCTGTTTTGCTTTTAGTCATTTTAGCACTTAAATGTAAATTAATTTTAGTTCAGTTATTTGCGAAGGCAACATCTGTACTTTTTGTTTAAGTTTTTTATTGTTTTGTAATGTTTGTAGAATTTATTTTTTTATTTCAGCTTTATTTAAAAAAAATAGTTGTAATAGTTTTAGTCAACATAAACGACACTGACATTAAGGCAGTATTTTTACTATATTTAAAACAGTTTATTATTTCAGTAAATTTAATTCAGTACAAATTCTACATAATGTATAAATATTTTAAAATGCTACATTATGTATAAATATTTAAAAACATAAATAATTTTTTTGGCACCACAATAATGTTAATTTTGGGACAAAATCAATTATTTTAATTAAAAATAATATTACTATGCAAACAAATTTAAATGACTGTAAAAAAAAAAAAAGGTTTAACTTTCATTGTGCATAATAACATTTTCTTTGTGCACTCTTTTTTGTGATTTTTAGGCTGGAAATAACAGCGGAGATTCACTCAAAAAAAACACTAATAGTTAATATTTTGTACAGGTATGACATACCCAGAATGCTCAGCAGCATTGGCAGCAGCAGCAGCGGATGAGCAGTAAACACAGCTACTGATGCGATGCAAATGGCAAGTGACAGCAGCAGACTGTAGAGGGCGCTCTCCACACCTACAGTCACAGGGCAGTGCATAAAGAGCAGTTCAAAGAGGTTAACGCAATATAAATAGAGAATCTGACTGCAGATTCATTATTGTCAGTTGTTGAGAGTGAAGTTAATGAGCACTCATGTTAATGATGTCTGCGCCTCAGACTAATCGCTCTTAAATTGCTCATTTATTCAAGCAGGGCCATTTTTATCAAAGCTCCTTTCTGTCTTTGCCACGTTCTATTTTTACTCTCTTGCCTATAATTTCCATGAAGATCTGTTTCCAGTGTTGGCAGGTCTGGAAGCCTCGTCTCAGAGCCGAGGATGCTGGGAGTGATGCGAGCTGTTTCTGCAGGAAACTCTCCCATTGGAGGAAATCAGAGTGAGTCTGAAACGAAGACTTTCCCTTGTAGGTGGTCTGAAACACAGAGACAATGAAGAACCCTTATATAAAAATTAGGCCTGTCAAGCGATTACATTTTTTTATTTAATTAATTACATGATCAATTAATTTGGCTGAGGAATCCCCCCCTCCCCAACAAACAAAAAAAACAAACAAACAACAACAACATTCAATTTCTTTTCCGTTTTAAATGAAAAAAGCATGAAATAACGAATAGACGTAAAAAAAAATAGCTTTAGAATTAAATATTTTGATTCAACATCGAATTTACACATAAAATATTAAGGCTGCAATGCTACATAAGGGCATACAAGATCTATGTGTTGTGTTATGTTGTGTTTGGGCTCATTTGAACCAAGAACGCCTTCTCTAAATAAATATATGTGATCTACTATGATTTAATATTTGTTTGGTGAAGCTGCATGTGTATATACTGTTTACATGTACTTACTATCGTTTAGTCTCTACCTGAAACAATATGCTTGTTGTATTCTGCTAGTTGAGACATTTTTAACAATATATAACACAAAAATCAGTTATGTATGATACATAACAGATCACAGTCACAATTTTATTTAAAAAGTAGGCATATATTTTCAGCTCATATTTTTTTCTTCTTAAGACAAAAATTTATAAAGCCATTTTTACACGTCAAAATTCACATCCCTAGTTTTACCTCGTGTATTTTAAAATGCACCCTATTTCACCAAGGTCCACTGACTCAAAATTTCTGGGCACGCTGCATCTGAAGTGGCATTTAGGTGTAATTATGAAGACTGTTCAGAGGTGGCATGAATGCATTTACATTGCAATTAGAATTGCATACATAATGCTATGAGGTTTTAAACTGCCATTAATGTTTTTTTTATTTATTTAATTGTAAATTTTTTTTTTTAAATATGAAATGTTTTTTTTAAGAAACTCTAAATATGAAACTAAAACTGCCAGTATGCAACTGCAAGTCACCGTCCTAATGAGTGAACAGCACTTTGTGCTGCTCATAGATGCACAACAGTTTCGCGGTGGTTTTGTTCAGAACTACAATAGTTTCATTTGGCGAAATTGAGCAAAACAGAAAATATCGAAATTTTTTGTGTCTAAAACACAATATTAACATCTTGTTTATCGTACTGTTCTATAAAATCAATATTACATTTGCAATCGTGCAGATATTCGGGGAAAAACAGCACTCTTGCTTGTGTGATATTGCTAAACACAAAGTCAAAAAATTTTTTTGCCATTATATTTTTAATATTAGGGGCAAATGCATAACTGCATTCGTAGGTTTAATCATGCAGTCAGTCGTCCTGCATCATGTTCCTCAGCAACTGTATGCAATTTAAGATGATGTACAGGCCTGGGCCGGTGCGAGTGCTTTAAATGCATTAATAATTTTAACATGTCCCCCCCCCCAGCAAATCGCAGCAAATTAATCCATTAAATTTACAGCCCTCATAAAAATGCTTAACAACCTTGTGTAAGAAGTCAAGTAATGAAGCTATTTTAGGTGCTGTCACACTCGCACAACGGGTGAAAAAAGCACCATAAAAGCATTTCATATGACTCAACGACACTTTTGTGCGAACTATTGAAATGCAGCGATGAACTCACTGATTCAAAAGCCATAGAGATCCAGTGCACTCTACCGCCCTGCATGCCCACTGCACCATGGGATAGCTGGCCAGGCAAGAGATTGGGCTCAGGAAGAGAGTGACACTCAGGATGGAGTAACGGCAGGATGGATGTGAGGCTGTTACCTGCAGGAGAGAAACACGACGTGACCAACTGAAAGCCAAGTCACAACACTTTATACAATACAGATCATTTCTAAGCAGCTTCACATTAAGAAAACAGTTTTAATGTTGTTAAATCATCAGTTCATTAATTCATCATAGGAGTGTTGATGTTGTAAAGTTAGCGTCATTATCCAGCTCAATTCAGTTCAAATTTTCTTCTCATCTGATGGTGTCGGTGCACTTTATTATCTAATAATAGCTGTATTTAAAAGGGTTCCTCCTCACCTGATGGCAAACACTGAGCTCCACCAGGCTTCACCAGCTTGGTGTTAGCACTGATGGTTTTGCACAGCTTGCACAAGTGCCCGATCTCATTAAAAACATCAAAGTCTGGATCGTAGATCACACTACCCTTTGAGGGAGAGGAAGGTCAATAATCATTAAATTAATAATTCATAAAACAGTTTCAAAGGAAAACAATCAATATACAGTGTACAGACTGAGACCACATCAACAATCCTGAGTTTTATTTTGAAAAACTGAAAAGATGGAGGTAAAATTACTACCCTTTACAGGCTGACATATGAAACAATAAATCTTTTCTTGAGCATCATATTTGATTGTCTGGCTCGTATAGTAAGATATAAGAGAATATGGACCTCATACTTAACAGGACAAAACACCTCAGATTTATTCAGTCTCAAACTGAGCAAAAATATGCAATTTGGTGCAGATGATGTTTACATGGCCGAAAAGTAAATGTAATGTAAATCAATGAGATCTTTATAACAGTTCAACAGACTAATTAGATAAAATGCATATACATATCAGTTGTCACTGTGTATCTCACAATAATATGTGTAAGTTGATACAATATTTAAATGCTTAGTTTTATGATTAAACCTCTGTAGTCCCAAACATTCGATGCAATACAGTGATGATTGAGAGATCAACAAATAAACGTTCCACAAAAGCCTGATGATCATATATTTGACACTCATGATTAACATGATTTAAAAAAAGATCTATGTGTATAATCAAGTAAACAAAAAGTTGATTCAGTCCAGTAAATGTTCATCTTGAGGTATTATTAACGATATAAAAGTTATTCTTACATTTATTTCATTACAATCAGCAAGGATTTCATGGCAAAAAGGCATGTAAACCACATGCTGAAGGTGGACAGATTTTAGAATTATACTAAAATGTCTTTTACTTGCTAGGACATATAAAATATCAATCAGATGATAAAAGGCATGTAGTTGATTGTGTTCAACAGGCTTTTCAGCAAAGTTTTGAGCAAGTTTTCAGCAAAATGTATGTATAAAATCATACAGTAGGCTTTATAGGGTTGAGGTTCTATATCATGAATTACATGAGGTGTCGATCAAAATATAATAAAATGACTTGAAGCAGTTTTTTTTTTTTTTTGGCGCCTTGCATTTTTTGTTGTTCATAGTAGTGGGAGTTGTGGAAAAAGTTTCAAAGCCTGCAGGGATTCATACCTTAAAAAATCCACCAGTTAACTATCCAGCTACCTATAGCTTTGTCTTACAACTTTTAAAATGACTTGAGACAAATTAATTCTAATCTCTAACTATTTACGAAGGGATATGATTCTATGATTCTCCCCCTAAAGGGATAATTGAAAAAAAAAAAAATATGAAAATTTGCTTTTAATTTAAATGCAAGTCAATGCTGTCACTTTGAGAGTCAAACAAGCAACACGAAATTAATACCTGTGGCTCCTGACGATATATTGATCTACATTCTTTTCACTCAATATACCGTCAGGAGCCACAGGTATTCATTTTGTGTTGCTTTTTTTTGACTCTCAAAGTTTGAAATTAAAAGCAAATTTTCATTTTGTGAACTATCTTTTTAAGTTACTAGGCATTTTTGGAAGTTGACTATGATTAATCCATTATCCATTTTCATGAAGGGACTTTATATTCATGATTCCCTTCTGCACTCAGTGTAAAGAGTTGTATTCTGTCTTACCAGGTCTCCAATAACATGGTTGTCTGAGCGCTGAGTGCGGTTGATGCCCAGTATGCCGAACACCACGAACACCATGGCTCCGGTGTCCACTAGAGGACGCACTGCTGGTTTCCCACACTGACCTCCGCTGCAGGGGTTAAAGCCGGAGGTCCTGGAGATCTTAACCTGGGCAGGAGCTGATCAGATATACAAGATGTAGCTGACACTTACGAAAGAATTAAACAACAACTGACAAACTGACAGAAAATTAAGCATTTAGTGTTTAAATGAGAAAGATTGCACATGGGTATGTTTCAGAAGCAATATGTTGTTTAATCGCTTTTGTTTTGGGATAGCCCAAACACAATTTTGTGCTTTTGTGCTGTATATGTTATATGTTAATAATAGGCATGCTAATAAGCAACTAGTTAATATTGAGAATTAATATATTCATGAATAGAAAATGCCAGCTACAACACCTAGAATCATTACTTCATTCTACATGCGTTTATAGTTCAGTTAAGAGGAAATAATGTACTTTAAAAGAATATACTTAAGTGTGAACTGAATGTAATGATTTTAGACACTGCATGATAATTAGAATTAATTGAAAATGTATTATAGATAAATGTAATTTCATAATTACTTCTATTGTCTTTGAAATATGGCTAAAGGGTAACTGCTGAATGTACTGACAAGCATTTATAGCAAACTAAAATATATTTTAATATAATTTCTTTCAGTTTTGAATGTATTTGTAATTACACATTAGTAGATTTAAAATATATTATCATTAAATGTAATACTGAATATCACACTACAGTTAGGCTATAATCAAGTACTTTACATGTGCTTTAGTATGTTAGTCAGCACATCAAAATAAATGCATTATTTAAAGCAATAGCAACATTTTATTACATTTATTAAAGTAAAACTTTTAATTTGGCATCATTACAAAGTGTACTTTTTAAAAAGTGTAATTATGTGAGTTAAGTAACATAGTCATGAATGTGAACTGTCTTTTAAGTACACTTACTGTAAGTGTCTATTATTTCATTACTACTATATTATCTTCAAGTACATTTTTTAAAAGTATACTTTTGAGGTATGATTTTTTTTTTTTTTTTTTACAACATAATATTCTACCACAAACCTTAAAGTGATAGTTTGGTCACACTTCATTTTAAGGTCCAATTCTTGCTATTAACAAACCATTAACTACGACGTTTGCCTCAACAAACTCCTAATTTGCTGCTTATTAATAGCTAGTAAGGTAGCTGTTAAGTTTAGGTATTGGATAGGGTTAGGGATATAGAATATGGTCAAGCAGAATATGTGCTTTATAAGTGCTAATAAACAGCCAATAGGTTAATAATAGGCATGCTAATAAACAACTGGTTAATAGTGAGAATTGGTCCCTAAACTAAAGTGTTATCGATAGTTTTTGTCATCATTTGCCCTCAAGTCGTTCCAAATCTGTGTGAGTTTCTTTCTTTTTTCATAATTTGAAAGTTAATGGCTTGACCAGCAAATGTTTGTTTACCAACCTTCTTCAAAATATCTTTTCTGTTCTGTTCAAGAAACACATACAGGTTTAGAACAACATGAGGGTGAGTAAATGACTTCAGAATTTTCATTTTTGGGTGAACTGTCCCTTTAAATTAAATGCACATCTTCAAATACATTAAAAACCCAGGCCTGTACCTGTAGGTAGAGGTGCATAGAAGCTGCCCTGAGTGGGTCCATCCGGTCCAGAGCTGAACACACACCCCGGCGGCCCCTCACACACACGACTGGGGTACGGGCTGATCGTGTGCTGGGCGAAATACAGCTTCCTGCCCAAAATACAGACCAGATTCCTATCATCCCAGCTCATTTCCAGACACTTTGAAATGAGTTTCTTTCTTTTTTCATACTTTGAAAGTTAATGGCTTGACCAGCAAGTGTTTGGTTACCAACCTTCTTCAAAATATATTTTATGTTCTGTTCAAGAAACACATATAGGTTTAGAACAACATGAGGGTGAGTAAATGACTTCAGAATTTTCATTTTTGGGTGAACTGTCCCTTTAAATTAAATGCACATCTTCAAATACATTAAAAACCCAGGCCTGTACCTGTAGGTAGAGGTGCATAGAAGCTGCCCTGAGTGGGTCCATCCGGTCCAGAGCTGAACACACACCCCGGCGGCCCCTCACACACACGACTGGGGTACGGGCTGATCGTGTGCTGGGCAAAATAGAGCTTCCTGTCCATAATATAGACAATTACCAGATTGTTATCATCCCAGCTCATTTTGAGACACTTTGATATGCTGAAATGAAGCACTGAGTCACACAGGGTTAAATGTTGCACAGTGGAGGCACAATAAAAAGATGTCAATCAGTCATGGATCATCAGTGAACATCACATGTTTTTTCACACTCACCTGCTGTGCCGCTGCTCAACTGACGCCACGTAGAAGTCAAACTCTGATCTCCAG